CTTGGAAAATGGTTTAAAAAATATATGATGTCTTGCAAGTGGCCCATGCTGCTGCCGCTGCATCACAAGAACCATAATTCTTTTTGGATCACTGATTTGCACAGCAGCAATAGAACATGGGGATGGGGATGTGTTTTTTTAGTATAGAAAGTTATTTTACCTTAAGTCTAAAATAAAACCTTTTAAGTATGTTAAAGGGCTGACTTAAATTTTTATTCTGCAGAAAAATATGTCTCCTGGCATGTGGAATAGAGAAAAATAATGGTTTAAACTTTAGAGTAAAGTCCCTAAAAGATTATACTACAGTTTTCATTTTTCTGGATTTTTTCTCAAGTACAAATGCTTATTCATGATTGTTTTGCTTCTGTTGCATCTCTGTATTCCAGGCTCATTTCATAGTTTCTAAAATAAACTCTGCTGGAGTGAAATCAGTGTAAAGCTTGGATGTTGTAATGCTTCTGTGGTTTTGTAGCTGATTCATAACATCTATTTCAAAATGGAGCACAGTTATGTTCTTCAAGTTGTCCATGAGAAGGAAAATAAGCAAGAAGCCAAATTTTCATCACCGAGACATACAACTGAGTTTCTAAATATTAATTTTTTACAGAGGATTCTGATAGTTATCTCTGATAGTTATGAGAATATATATTTGCAACTAAATAGATTCCAAGAAGAATGTAACACATAGTAAATTAACATATTGTATTTCATATTGTCTTTTAGAAACAGAAATATTATTGTGGAATTTCTGAAATAGTTAGAAATGAAATAGTGGGTGAACATCTTTTTGTTTCCCTCTCTCTTCTGTTGCTATTATTGCTGTCTCTTTATTTTCAGAATTACCAAACTGTTACTCTTCAGCTGAGCATACCTCTCATCATTCTTAATGACACCAATTTTGGGAAAATCTGTCTTAGGTTCCCTCATTATCCAAGATGGTGGCATCTTAATCAAGTTGAAACCACCATGGAATAGGGTGAATTGAACTTTTGATGAATCTTTTGTCCTGCCAAGGAAGCGGATGGTAGCATATGGCAAGAGGTAGAGATTTTTCTAGCAGATTCCCTAACTGCAATTATGTTGGGTCCCTCACGACACCATGCACACCCTATAGCACACTGATGATTTCTTTTGAGATAAACTAAGGCCCAAAAATTCTCACAGCAGGATATATTGGCAAGGAAATATTCTATTATTTTAGTACATTACTGGGTAGTGTGTGTAATATTTTGAATCTTCCAGTGTATAGATATAAAACCTAACACTAGAAGTAATGGCTTCCATTCCTTTGTTTTAAATATTCAATTTCTGATTATATACAGTACTTCCTCCATAAGTCATTTCAAATAAAGAATTTATACTTCTTTGATTCAAGCTTGTTCCATCTGGTTCAGAATATATTTTGTTCACATGAGGAGTAATATTTTGTAGTATTACACTTACTTGCTGTAATGTTTCAATATCCTAATGAACTAAACCTCAGACCTAGCTTTCTTTTTCTCTACAGCCATGGCAGCCATCAGGAAGAAGCTGGTAATTGTGGGAGATGGTGCTTGTGGGAAGACATGTCTATTGATTGTTTTTAGCAAGGACCAGTTCCCAGAAGTCTATGTACCAACAGTCTTTGAAAACTATATTGCTGATATTGAAGTAGATGGGAAACAGGTAACTCATCTTCTTTAATAGTAGAAACAGCTTCTAAGTGATGTTTGCTTTCCTCTCTGGATGTCACTAATTAATATTGTCAGAGAGTTTTTTTGTGCATCCATTAGTATACTGATACTGAGTCCCATTAGAAATGTCAGTATCTGGTTGGTCAACCACCAATAATCAGGACTTTATATTTGTAAATTAAATGATTAAATTACATGCATAACTCCTACCCAATAAATATGCTGAAATGATAATTCTGCATCAAAGAAGCCTACATTCCTTCTCTCTAGTTAAATATCGATCAACTTCTTTATGACCTTTATGTCTATGGGATTTTAACATCGTAAATACTACTATCTTTTCTCTACTTGTATATGTGCCCCAAGGTTCTTTACCACCAACCTCTGAAACCAACAAAGACTTTCAGAAAAAATAAATAAATACTAACCTAATTGTAAACTGTTCAGTGTCTTTTAGATAATGAGAGTTGTATATAAATTTGATTAAAAGATAAAATACATTCCAGATTCATTTGAAATATAATTAAACAGATAACTGTACATTTGCCCGATATATCCTCTTATGCCATGTTTATTTTGCTGAGTAGTTTTGAGCAATGTTTGCCTAGTTCCATAATTCACCAGCTGATGATGGCCAATTTGATGAACATGTATTTGTTTTAAGGACTAGAGTTCAAAGAAGTAAATTAGGAGGAGTCTGATCTTCCATCTCTATGCAAAACTCCCCTTTTATGTGAAGAGTCAACCCTCCGCATCCTTACATTATAGAAAAATATGCAAATATTTAAAATATACATAGCTGTCCTGTACTTCTGGTTTGGTTATGAGTCCAGTTGCCATATGTCAGATGATTTCATATCATATTTGCTCGCTCATTAAATTAGTATAAAAATTTTGAATTTCTGAAAAATGGAAATTTCAATAAAACTCTTCTGGTGCTTCTTTTAACATTCCATTGACTGACCTGAAGAGATGATGTTGTATTTAATTTTGATGGTGTTTATGAACTTGGTGTTGAATGCCCTTAAGAATTATGAAGAAAAGCGGTTCTGCATAATGGCTTTAGTTAAGTACAGGGTTTAATATATTTAATTGCTTAATACTGGTAGATATTTTGCCAGGCTGCTTAAAATAGCCAAGGAGCCAAATATAAATGAGGAAAGCAAAACAGTTGGATTTTTCTCCCTTCAGTATATGTATTTAACCACAGTCACAATTACTGTATGTTGATTAAGGGACTGTTTTTTTTTTTTTTCATTCATAGGTGGAGCTGGCCCTCTGGGATACAGCTGGGCAAGAGGATTATGACAGGCTGCGGCCTCTCTCTTATCCTGATACAGATGTTATCCTCATGTGCTTCTCCATTGACAGTCCAGATAGTTTAGGTAAGGCTATAAAATAATAGTTCAAATTATAGGTCAGGAATGGTCACCATGCTGTATGTCTTCCCATGTATTGCTAGAAGCTCTCATTCTGAAGTAGTTCTCATGCCATCTGAAGCTGCTGCTTTGGTCAATAAAGCAGGAGACAAGCAATTCTCTGCTGGACAGCCTTATTGTCATAGTCAACAATATTGTATTAGAGTGTCACAGTCAACATTATCTGAAATAGTATAAAGTTCTCCTCCTTGAGTAGGGAGCTAGACTAGATAACCACCAAGGTCCCTTCCAGTTTCTGTTCTGTTCTTTTCTGTTCTATTCTTACTAGAGTGATAATGCTTTTCAAATGTCCAGGTTGGTTAACACTGGACAACCAATACATGGACAAATGGATCACTGAACATATCAACACAGTTTTGCAAATGACCAGGCTCAAATTATCCTACTTCAGACACATTATGCAAAAACCTGGGAAAAGTTCTAATACTAGGAAAGGCGGAAAGAAAAATGATGAGCAGCCAGAAAGGTGGGTAAACTGAGATTTAATGGCAATGAGCACATTCAGAGAGACCAGGTTAGACAGATTTTCATGGAGATCTATGCGGTCACTAAGGGTGGACTTCAAGACAACTTGTTGGCACATAAGTCAGTCATGTGATCCATCTATTCATTTCCCATTACTGGTTGCTGCTTGTAGAATAGGCCTGCTTTTTCAGGTGAATGAGTTCATTACTTTAGAAAAAAAAATACATCTACTGTAGAAGTTCAGATTTTTCTCAGCCATATTTGGTTACTTTTATAATATTGGTTATCACAGAGATTACCAACAAAATTTTAACTGTAATTGTTTTTCAATCTTTTGGTCACAATAGTACCTTAACATGACAAAAAGCTGAATTTTAGGGACAAATTTTTATGATTGCTGTAATAGCCTACATACCTGGATGCTGCTTAAGAGAATGCACTCTGGCAGAGGTTCAGGATGTCTCCTCAAAGTCTGTACTAGACAAAGGAATCTTTAAGGATCTAATCTGTTTTGCTGGACGGAGAATGAATGGCTTCCTCCATTCAAGATTAGCCAGTTTGGATAGTTCCTTGAATATGTTTGCACTATGACACCATTAATAGTTTTTCAGTATATAAGGACAGAAAGGACTCAACAGTTGCCTTCAGGAGAAAGATGAGGATAAATTAATGTTGGCAGTATTGCAGAAAGGGAAAATTCAAGGATGAAGGAATATGTACTTTTTTCTGCACAGAAAGCCTTTGTGACACTAGGTCTTTCTGCAGCTCTATGCTACATGTCTGCGGGATATTTTTGACTGTGGTTCTGCGGTTTAGATGGGGAACTTCCAACCCACTCCTCAGTCACTTCTTCCCTTGTCTTTTACTGGTCTAAAGAATACAAAGTTCCCTTACATCTGTAGTGGGGTCAGGTGGACGAAGCAGACTGACACTTGTTTACTGTCCAAGATTCTGAAATAAGACTCTCATTGTATTCACTCTCACTGAAATGGATCTTTTCCTTTATATTGATGTGGGGATTACACTTATGTATTTGTTCTGCTGGGGGTTTGCTCACTGAGCGGGTTCTCTCATCTCTTTGCTTCTTCCAGAGAACATACCAGAAAAATGGACACCTGAAGTGAAACATTTTTGCCCAAATGTGCCTATCATCCTTGTAGGAAACAAAAAGGACTTGCGTAATGATGAACACACACGCAGAGAGTTGGCAAAGATGAAACAGGTATGGATCCATCCACACTTGTTTGCTTTTTTGAATGCAATTCTCCTATTCTTGAAGATAAAATACTGTGGAACTGTGGTTTAATTGTCTTGTTCATGTATTTATTGAAGCTTTCAGTACCTTCTAATTCTAAGGGAAAAAACAGTCATTATCACTTGGGATCTTTACATTTTAGAGTAATTGTGATATGTACAAGTATTGGTTGGTTATTTTTGCAAATAATCAACTTGAAGCAGTTTCTAACTATTTCTCTTTGGTCAAGATAAACAGCCAGGCTGGCCTTTTGCCTCTGCTCTTAAATTTTCCTTCTAAACTTGAAGTCGTGCAAGAGTTCTTGTGTTCTTTTTTAATAGCAACTTTCTCAATGTCCCTTCGAATGTGTAAGGTCACGTTCTGAGGAAATAAGGACCTTCAAATAAATTTCTGACTTAAAGCTAAACACCTTTGTGTTTCTTGACTCTCTTTGAATAGGAAGCTGTCAATATATGAAATTCAACATAATCTTAAAATATCAAAAAATTAAGGTACAATCAATATTCATTTCCTCTCATCTTTCTCACTGAATTCTGGGACTTAACAACAAACCTATAGAAGTGACTGCATTTACTTTTGAGAAATAGTACATCTGTTTAGTTATTTCTATTCTGAATTACCTGTAAACAATAATGCTTGAAGAAACTCGATTAAATTTAAACATGCCCTGGATTTTCCAGATGTTTTCTACCTTTCACATAGCCTTTGTGAATGTATTTTTTCATTGTCCGTTCTTGTAGAACTAGATTCCTTCATTCCCTTCCATATCCTGTGGAAAATTCTGAAATGTAAATCTTTCATGAAGATTTACTGTTTGTAGTTTGACCTAATTAATATTCCACCCTCATTTGGAATTATGGCTAAAGAAGCTGTTGATTTTGCATTTCCAATTCTAAACAGTTGATCTTCCTTTGAAGAGTGAAATTTGAGTACAAATTGATGCTCCTCTTTAACCACCCCGGTGAAGTTTTTAATTTAGTTCTGGTTTGCTTTCTCAGGACACTTAAGCAAAAAGCTGAATCTTAAAAAAAGAGCTTGAAAATAAAATTAAGAAATATTTATTTTTGTTACCAATATTTGTATGTCTCTGAATTACATGTTATAGTTTGCTTTAATTGGTTGTTTTTGAACATCATGACAATCCAATTAGCATGAAAAAATAGGGTACACGTTAATAAATCCACAGGCTTTTCCAACAGTCCCTTTACCTTTTTTCAAGTCTAGCATTGTTTTTTCCAGCCAGCATGGATGGGAAATTATTCTGGAAGCCCTGGCTACTAAAATTCCTGTCCTACTCTGGGTGCAAAACATGCTATTAACTCAGCTTGTATTTCCAAGAGGGTTTGGACTTGGCTTATGATTATCTGGTTATATTTTCAACAATGCCTTTAGAAAGGGATTCAAAGGAAACTTGTCTTCTATATATGCCAAAATCCTACCCACAGTGTCACAAAGACATTAATGTCAAGTGTACTTTTTTATTTGATGACTGTTCCCTTCATCCCAATAGTGTGCAGCAGATAAGAACCCAATTTAGTGCTGCACTAAGGATTTATGCCATTGTTTCCTACACATCAATGTTACATATTGGGCCTTTGTCAGAATAATGGCCTCAATCCCAAACAGCTCTATGCCTGTTTTTTAAAAAAATCAGCAGAGTCTCAGGGCTGTCTTGAGTTTACACTTCTTCTGTCATACCAGCAAAGTGCACAATGATAGTCTGAAAATATAAATTATTAAGTTATGTAATGTGTATGCTTCAGGTTGCAGCTACAAAGGAGGGACACCTGGTACAGTTCAGGAAGGGACCTTTATCTGTATTGTGCTCACCTGTTAGAACAGCATCCTATTGGCTTTAACTCTGTTGGCCTTTGTAATGACTTAAAAGCTTGGTTCTGGTCACTGGGTCTTGGGGCCAGAAAGTGGGGCTGCTGAACCTATCTATACATTGGCTATGTTAATTGTGATTGATGGATCCGTTTTTACTTCTGCTGCTGTTCAGTTGTTTCCTTGCTTTTATTTTTATAAAAGCAATATGGGCAGTCATAGTAAATTGAAATAATTATACCTTGCCAAAAGTTTTTGAGAACTTGCTGTGGTCATCATAAATGCTTTCTGATTGTCTGAGGAAAAGAAAAACAAACGATTAACAGGAAGTAAGTACTGGGGTTACCATGGATTTTTCTATTGTTATATCAGGCAGTGCTAAATAATAATCAAACTGTTTTGCTTGTCATCATTTTTACAAAGGAGCCTGTGAAGCCGGAAGATGGCAGAGACATGGCGAATAGAATCAATGCTTTTGGCTACCTTGAATGCTCCGCCAAGACAAAGGATGGAGTGCGGGAAGTGTTTGAAATGGCCACCCGGGCTGCCCTGCAAGTCAGGAAGAACAAAAGGCGCAAAGGTTGCCCGCTCTTTTAAGAGTGTTGGCAAAAGTTGTGACTGTGCTGTTTGAAGCATGCACCTGTTCCACGGATTGCATGGAAGCAAGCATGGCATCTCAATAGATGGAAGAGTACAAATTTAATATGATAGTTGGCTGATTTCAGCCTCCATTCTTTTGCACAGAAAAGGTACTCCAGGATACTACACAGCAGTGGACCTTAGGTCATTTTTTGGGCAGCATGTCTATACCATAATTTTGTATGTTTGGAAAGTCAAAATAAATCATTTGAATCCGGTTTGTAACAATTTGGGTATAGGGCTAACAGTTTATATGACTTAATTCTATACTTCTTGCTCTTTTATACTAATTCTATAATTTGGTGCTTTGTATGGATTTTCACAGCTTTTATGTTTTCACAAATAACAGAAGGTAGATTTTTGGAATTCTGCAACATATGAAGCTGGACTACAAGCTAATGTATTTGCCAGTCTCCCTCCATGATCTGAAAGGCAAGGGGCTGCCAAAATATTCATATGAATGTCTGGGAGGAATCAGCCTCTGTTGTGATTAGTGTTCTCTATTGCACTTCTGTCTGAGGAATACAGAATTGTGTTTTGGCAATACTATAGTCTCAGTTCCTTATTAAATTGATTTTATATGATTTGCCTTTTTTCTCTGTCCTTGAAGTCCTGCCAGCTATGTTAAGGTTGGGCACAGTTGGCTTTCTCATCTATTACAGAATAGCAAGTGTTGAAAGGAAAGGCCATTGTCGCTCTAAATACCGAGAGGAATAAACTTTGAATAATGTGCTTTGGCTTTCATGAAATGCACTGAAGGGACTAGATTGCGTTTTATCTGGTGATCATCTGAACTGTATTTTTCACTAAGATTAGGTAAATGTGCATTTTTTAATGGCTTGGGGGAGGGGGGATTTTTTAATATCACGAAACAAAAGAAAGATGTAATTGAAAGTAAGCCTGAATGGAATGAAATATTAAGTATAAAATTTAAGGATGGAAGACACATTCCATCTGGAGCTTTTGGGGCATATGAGTGTAGATTTTTTTTCCAAAGTGAAATGAAGAAAATGAAGTTGGAGTGTTCATATTTCATTGAGTAAATGTAATGTCAATTTTAATAATAACTCCAAAACCTCAGAAATTCCATGAGAATGAAATGCATCTGACCAGCCAATGGCTATAGCAACAGATTGGTGGGTCAAAAAGATAACATTTTTTTTAAGGAACTGGTGTATCTTAAGCACCACAGCATCTGTCTAAGTAGTGGATATATTATGATATCTCTGTAAGCACAGCTGCACCAGGAACAGCGTAAAACACCAGCATTCTTCATCTTCTGTTTACGTCATAGGATGGCAAAGAGCCAAACACTATTGCTATGGTTGGTGCATGGTGCCAGCTGCTCCCTAATCATGCAGATCTCGGAGGACCTACTGAATAACCATCACCAGCAATATAATGCACAGGACCACCTTTTAAACATACAGGAATAACAAGTGACTTAATGTGATAAAGGATATTCTTGTTCCTTTGAGACAATATAACTGCAGACGATTAGCCCTTTTCTATTGGCTAATCTAGGGGTAAAAATTATGTGCTTCTGAATTAAAGCAAATCTTCTGCTTAAATAATTCTCTACCTAGTGCTATTCCCAAGGCTGAAAAGGTCCCAGCACTGAATAACACAAGAATGAAAGAAATTGAGTCAGAAGTCAAGGCATATTTCAAATGAAAACTAAATTCCATCAATATCTAAGAGGTCAGAAAGATTATCCCATCCAAAACCACATGGGGGCAGGGGAGGTTAATCTAAATTCAACACATCTGTGTAATGCCAGGCAGGGGGAGGAAACAGAAAATGGGCAACTTTGCCTCCCCTGTCATTTAATCTGTTATAGTTTTTTGAATCTTTTATATTCAACTTGGCTAACCAGAAGTAGATAAAAACTCAATTTCAGCACTTTGATAATAAGGGAGAAAAATAAGTCCTTCCTCCATACTGTGGTTCTAACTGATTCAGGCCGAGTCCTCAGAAAAGCTGAGCATCTGTCATGCTATGTATGATGCTGGCTGGGGAATTCTGGGAGTTAAAGTCCACAAGTCTTCAAGATGCCAAGTTTGAAAAACCCCTGCTTTAAGATAAGGTCTTAAAAACTTCCCAAATTCTTCTTTTTTGTGTTCATTTAGGTATAGGGCCAACAGTTTATACGACTTAATTCTATGTTGCTTTTTATACTAATTCTGTAATTTGGTGCTTGTATGGATTTTCACAGCTTTATGTTTTCACAAATAACACAAGGAAGATTTTTGGAATTCTGCAACGTATGAAGCTAGATTAGAAGCCAATGTATTTGTCAGTCTCCCTCCATAACCTGAAAGGCAAGGGGCTGCCAAAATCTTCATATGCATGCCTGGGAGGAATTAGCCTCTATTCTGATTAGTGTTCTCTATTGCATTTCTGTCTGAGGGACACTGGCTTGTGTTTTGCCTTCAGTACAATATCGCAACAGGATATAGGTAGAAAATGATTTTTTAAAAACCCTGGTCCTTGATAACCCCCCACCCCGAAAAGGGAAAGGATGAAACAAGAGAATTTTATAACAAATACAGAATCATGGTGCATATAATTAAATCTTATATATTTTAATAAATTTAGTACAAAAACTGGTTAGATAAAATCTAAGTCTTGAGACTAACAAGTTTTGATAAGTTTCCCTCTCCCCAAAATTCTTCATAATCTCTACTCATAATCTCTTTCAAATATCAAAAATATTTCAATTACCATTCCTGTAATTTAATTCCTCAGACCTACCCAACATGTGCTCATATGCACTTGTTCTCAGCATAACAAATGTGTAGCCACTCATGAAAGAATACATAATTAATTCAGTCACTATTGGTAACCACACATGAACTTGTATCCATTATCCATTTTTTTTAAGCAGAGAATTTTGAGAACCCTGATATTTACTCCTGAGAAATAGAAGGTATGAAGATCAAATAAAATTTGGCTACTTGTCTTCTCTGTCAATCTTGCAGAAAGGGTCAAGAAGGCAGCATTCACCAGGATTGTGCTTAAGACACAGCACTAGTTTCAATGTTCATATCTCCACTGTGGCTCCACTTGCTGCTGGATATAACTATCTCGTAAGCTGTCATCTGTAGATAAGATAATTAGGTGAAGCAGGTAGGTGGATAGAAAGGAGAAGGAAATCTATTTGCTATCCTTGCACTGACCAAGCAGCCTTTCTGAACATTTAAAGGGGTACACTTAACTCTTGTTCTCCAAGATGCATAAAGCTTCAGTGTAGAAAGGTTAAAGACTGCAAGCGAGTTGGATTTTGGCTGGATATCAGTTGTCAGTCTATGTAATGCTTATAAAAGAACATCACCATCCCTTAAACCAGGGGTGTCCAACCTTGGCAACTTTAAGACTTGTGGACTTCAACTCCCAGAATTCCTCAGTCAGCAAAGCTGGCTGAGGAATTCTGGGAGTTGAAGTCCACAGGTCTTAAAGTTGCCAAGGTTGGACACCCCTGCCTTAAACAATGACATTCCAATTTCCCATCCCCTTTAAACACTTGAGGCAACTCACAAGAGCCTCCTCTTCCTAGCTGCTGATCATGGAATTCTGAGAACCAGTAAAATCTAATCAAATCACGCCAGCCTATGAGCCATCAATACTATCACCAGCCAATAGGGAAGTTGAAAAATCATCATTTGGCCAATGCTGTGGCTTCCAAGCAGAGGGCTAACAAAAATAGTCCCTCCTCTACACCAGAGGTCTCCAACCTTGGCAACTTTAAGACTTGT